GGGCTTCCTTCTTCAGCCAGCTGCTTGCCTGCCTACGGCCCCCTTGTTGAATTCAACCTCTGCTATGGTTCATCGACTCCTGCCTGGCTCCATCGCCTGCCTCCGGGCTGCACCTGCCTCTGTCCTCTGGGCATCTCCTGGGTCTGGCCCTTGCATCTTGTCCTGGACTTTCTTTGGTTCTTCTGCTCTGACCTCACAGTCCCTCACCGCCCGTGGCACAGAGGGTGAAAGCCACTGCAGTCCAGAGGGGCCTAGGGTGGCTCAGGTACTCCGCCTGCATTTCCGAATGCACTTGATTAGCCGGTAGCCTACACTCTGCCAGGCAGCGCTGAGATTCCCATTTTTCACTTCACTGACTTAGGAGAGACTTGGAAACTGTTTTCACCCCCTCCCAAGTTCATTCTGCCACCTTGCTTCCCCGGGGCTGACAGGTGTACAACTTCCCAGGAAAGGGTGCAGCTGTGGGAGGCCAGACGACAGGCAGACCGATGGGAAATGCAGCTGTGCTTCCGGAGTGAAAGCTTCTGGCTGACAGCAGAATCGAACAGGCTGGAGGCCCCCAGAGCAGGGGTGCTGCTGGTACCCACGAGCCACAGCTCCTCACATCAAAGTGCTCACCAACAGGTGTGCCTGTGTGCACTGCCGCCTGCTCTCACAGGTGGACGGAGAATCGTCCTAGGTAACAGAGGAAGGCCCTCGCGCATCGCCTAGTTCAACACTTAATTTCCCAAGGAAGCAACTGAAGCCCCGGTCGCCATGACCAGGCTGGTGTTGGCTACAGCACTTCCCACAGGCTACCCTCCAGTGAACCAGAGACTGCTCCCAGGAGTCCAGCCGGCTCCGTAGGTTTCTGTCAGTATCAGCAGGGCTGAGACAGAGCCAGAACGCTTAGAATCACTACCTCCCTCGCCCCCCAGGAGCTGGATTCTGCAAGCAAATTGAGGGACAGTGAGTGGGGTGTCCCACGGAGCACAGGAATGCAGATCTTCTGAGAGCAAGCCCTTTCCACACACACCCTTTTTATAAACAGCACCTGGGCACATTTGGGTCACTAGTGGGCAATTACTATTGGCTTCCCACCTCCCCCTCCCTTCCAGTCTCCTGTAAGGTAGGTGAATGAAGATTAAATGGGAATTGGGTTTTAACGGTAAAGAGCAGGTAGTTCAATCTTGGGGAGTTTTTACAAGCTATGGGGCTAAGCAGATATGAGAAATAAAAGACATAGAAGTCTACCGATTGACATCCCCCTACATTTTTAAATGTTGTATCTCATCTAGCTGGCCAGTAGCTTTTAAGTCTTTGATATAATAATTATAGCAATTTAATATCTCTTTACCTCCGTGAAGACACATACTTATTATATTGGAAGTAACAGTCTAAATGTCTCCTGTCAACCATGAGGAACTGTTCAAGAATAGCTGAAAAAAGACTGATGTGAATCCGTGGATGACTAAGAAAGGAGAAAAGTAGGGCTGAGGAATATCCGGAAATCTTCCTATCATTAAAGTCTATTAGTCTCAGAACAATGCCCCAAGGACACCAGTGAAAGCCCCATCTTATGAGTCATTTAAAAGTGGAGTGGACTTGGCTGTTGGAATTATTCCAAGGGGAAAACTCATGCACTACACCGGAAATGGACAGGGCAACCTAATGGGCTGTTGTCATGGTCAGTGCTTTCTATGTTGGCATGTCTAGCCTGCTCTTTGGATGTAACAAGGAAACATAAGAAGGGGCGGGGCCCAGGCAGGAACTGCAGTAGATGACCAGGACCAGATGTCCTGTCAGAGACTCTTCTTACAACGGGAGTGCTGGGGACAGCACTCAGACTAACTCGACAAGGAGAAAAAGGAAAGGTGGTATCAGAGGAAGAGTACACACGAAGTGCCGATATAACTCCCTGTGGCCATTCTGGCGAGGATTTAAAATGGGGCCGTGAGGAACTACCCCTTTGCTTGCCCCTCTGCAATTCCACTCCCCATTGGTTACCCTCAGCCTCTAGTACAAACTACTTAATTTGATCTTCACGGTGTTTCCCTTCAAGTCATGATTATTGTACACATTTTCCCTCATTGCCTTATATCTGTATTGGTGGATGATGGATGCACCTTCATGCACCCAACTCAAAAGTCAAACACTATTTTTAAATTTTTTGTTTTGATGGCAAGGTATATTTTGGTTTAGTTGTTAAATTTAACATCATGACTTCCCCGGGTTTCAATTCTCTCAACTGTAAAATGAAGAGAACAAAATCATCTCTCTTTACATCTCAGGTTGTCATCAAAAACAAGCAAGAGGCCTTGGCTGGGTGGCTTGGTTGGTTAGCGCGTCATCCCGAGCACCGAAAGGTTTGATTCCCGGTCAGGGCACATGCCTGGGTGGTGGGCTTGATCCCTGGTGGGAGCTCGTTCGGGAGGAAACTGATCGATGTTTCTCTCGTACCTCCCTCTTCCTCTCTCTGAAATCAGTAAAACATATCCTCGGGTAAGGATAAACAAACAAACACCCAAAAAACAAAAGAATGGATGTGAAATCACCTTGAAATCTAAAGTACTATAGAAAGAAATACAAGGTATTAATGTTTCTTGGTTCTTGCCCATTTCAGTGTTGCCCATTTTAGGATAAAAATGTTTTGTGGACATACATATTTTTAATATTACCAGTGTTATACTCCCTAATACCTGAAAGTAAGAGTGGTCAAAACAATAGGTGCTGGAAAGATGTTTGCTGAAAACAGTGTTAAATCATATTGCAGGTTGGGTAGGGGGACAGGAGGGTCTCGGAATCGCTACTAATAATCTGATGCTTTTGTCTAATCCATTCAGTTGGTTTCAGCGTGAAATATACAACTGAGTAGAAAAGGAAACAATAAGATTTATGAATACTGTATATAAATGTAATCCTCACAACAACACTGGAGATAACATTGCCCCAATTCACATACGAGAAAAATCAAGGCCCAAGGTCAGAGAGCTAGTAAGAGACACAGCTCGGATATAAACTCGGATCTGCACACTTGAACTCTCAATTGTCCCACATGGCCTATCTGATTGTGTCACAAGTTAACTTTGTTTTATTCCATAGATGTATGTCATCGATCTCATGGGGCTATGTGAGGATGATTCAACACATCAGACAGGCAGGATGGAGTCAATACCCCAGACGCCTTTGCAGCTGCCACTAGTGATGCTACAGGTCACGCTGGGGAGATGGGCACCTGCGTTAGACACCAGCCCCAAAACATCCACTTTATCACGGCCATTCCTAGCCTGGCTGCCACCTCCACCTCCATACAGCACTGATATCAGGTCAGAAAAGCCCATGCGCCAACTTGCAGGTCCCAAATGCTCCGTTGGTATTAATATTGAATGCCGGGCTTGTTAAGAGCCTATCAGAAGCTGCTTTTGCAAATACAATGTATAACAACATCATCAACATTATTTCTACTGAAGACCTTTAAAGAAAAAAATCCCGGGCGTACTATTAAGAGCTATACAAGTGTCACTACGAGCAAGAAATAGAAAAAAGCCTCAAGCCATCAGGCTTTCAAAGACAACATAGGCTTTTAATACATCTTAGTAACAATAGTCCTCCCTTATCTGCAATATGTTCCAGTACTTCCAGTGGATGCACAGACCACAGATATACTATAGTTTCTTCCTATACACACATACATACCTATGAGAACATTTAATTTATAAATTAGACACAGTGAGTAACAACAACTAATAAAATTAAACAATTATAGCAATTTACTGTAATAAAAGGTATGTGAATGTGGTCTCCCTATATCTCTCTCTCAAAACATCTTATTGTACTGTATGTACAGTGTGAACGCACTGGACAAAGGGAAGATTCCCATCTCAGGAAGAATGGAGTGGGATGGCCCAAAGTTTCATCACACTACTCAGAACAGTGCAATTTAAAACTTAAGAATTGTCGTTCACTTCTGGAATTTTGCATGTAGTATTTTCAGACCGCGGCTGACCGCGGGTGACTGAAACTGTGGCAAGCGAAACCGTGGCTAAGGAGGACCACTAGCATTGCCGTTATTGCCCAGCTATGCAGGTAATACCAATCCTCCCATCAGAAGGGATGTTAGAAATTTATGCTAAGTGGTATTATTATAACTACGGCAAATCAGACTGCAGAAAGGCATGCTGTGTAGCTCAAGCACCAGATTTAGTTGGGCTAGAAGGTCAACTCCGGGGAGTTTAGCAGCAGAAAGAATCAAGGTTTCCAACAATTTCTGTCTCAGAACAGCCTACACGCAACTGTTAAATCAGTTAAATGATAGGCAATTATGTGACCGGCCAGAATTGATAATTGGCTTCAGAGTTCATCATGAGCTTTCTAAAGTACATAAATGAGAGAAAACACATGTCCTGTGAACATCACCTTATTCTGATAATGAAGGGTCCAGAGAAGAATACAGCTCTGGTATAAAAAGTGATGGAAATATTTCCTAAATCCTGCTCCTGGCCTCCCTTTCCCTGGCCAAGTGAGTAGACTCTACCAACTGGTAGAAGACTGAATGGTAAGTTTTTGTTTTAGTTTTTTGTTTGTTTGTCTGTTTGTTTTAAACCAGGCTCTCCACATGACTACTTGCTGCTTATAGACCCAAAGCTGCTGGCCCCTGAACTTGTATCATTCCTCATTGCTGGCTTTGAGTATTGGCCCAGAAATAGGGAGCAATGACCTTGAAGACACAATTACTATAGAGGACAAAAGTTCAGAACGACTGGGAAAAGTATTATTGTAGTAAGAATCTTTTTTTTTTTCTTTCTGAAAGTAAGGAGTTGAGCACAAGGCGAATACAGGCTCTTACAAACATCTGGATGGAAGTTGATTACAGCCTAACCGACTTGTCACGGCAATTCTTGATGATGACGACTAGTTTGGTTTATAAAGCATTTTCACACACATTAGCCCGTGACATCCTTACCACTGTCCCATGACACTGGGCACGCTTCCACTGGTGCCGGGAGCGGCTGCACACCCACCTGTTTGGCCTGATTGACACAGCGCATGTACTGGCTGGCCAGCGCAGAGCAGCTGAGGGTCTGCTGGGTGTTCTGGCGGTAGCACTGGAGAATCTTGGCCTGCAGATCCGCACAGACCGGGTGAACCTCATACCGCCTGCAAACAAAAACAGGGATCGCTGAGGCAGATGGTCTTCAGTCAGAGTAAAGGTTGAGGCCAAAGAATGTATAAAACATTAAATAAGATAAATGTTTCAAATGTAGAAAACAAAGTTCAAGAGAAATCATTTTCTTCAACCTTGAAGAATACACAAGGTAAACAATTTCTCTGAAATTAGTTCCATTAGCTGACACCACCACAAGCCTCTCTGGACACTAAAACCTTCCCGCCAGACCGAAGCCCGGACCAGGCAAATGGCGCACATACTCTTGGGCCCAGCCAGCCGGACCAGAAGCCTGGGAGCCGTACCTTCCCTCTTCCACCCCAATGCCCACCGGGTCACAAAGTTCGACCCCCTACATTCTGGTTTCTTTCCCCATACACGCTGTCCTCACATTTCTATCCTGGATTCTGTGACCTCCCAACTGCACTCTCTGTCTCTCAGCTTTCACCTCCAGCTCCTGCCTTCCAGAAGGTTCTAATACATAAATCTGAGACAGCCTTTCTCCCTCCAGCTTTCTAAATAAAATGCAAGGTCAACCGGTAGGTCTTCATTGGGTTCCTGCCGGCTCTTTAGCCTTCATTCCCCACGTGCTGCAGCCTGACCAAACCATTTCCGGGTTTGGTTCTCACGTGTCCCTTCACATCTTAGCTCATGCGGTTCTTGATTTCGGGAATGCTCTGCACTCAAACTCCCATCCATACATGTGGAAAACACCTACGCGTCTTTTAAGTGTAACCGTCTCTACACAGCTTTCACTCCCTCTCCCATCATGGTAGAGTCTACCCCTCTCTATGGTGACCCCCGCTGACCTTGTATTAACGTCTTTCAGTCTTTCACCGGGCACTTAATGCTGACTATAGTCTATGTACACTATGCGCACTTACTAGCCTACATTTACTAGGATGCAAATCCCAAGGAGAACTGTCTTATTTTCTTTGTGACCTCAGCTACTGAAAAGGATACCTCTCAGAGAAGCCATGCAATTAGTAGTTGAGAATACAAATGGGTGGAGAGAAAAAAAAATTTTAATTCCTGGGCTCACATTTTACTAATTATACTTACAAATCTCAAATTTTAGTTAGATTGCTTTCAGTGAATATGCAGTACCTAACTTAAGTGCTTCCAAAAAAGTTTATCATATAGACTTGAGAAATGATAACAAAATAAATCAAATGAATTATACAAACCAAAATGAAATAGTCTTAAGATGGTAGAGGAACTTTGATTATAAGAACTAAACACACAGAAAACATATACTATTAGCACTTTTAATCTAGGAATTCATATATTTTTTTCAAATTAGTTTTACTTAATACAAAAGGCTTCCAGTCTCTCATACCAGTTCTTTTTTTGAAATTTAAATTTTGTCATTGCCATAGTAATCTTGAAATAGCATTATTTTAAATTTAATGGATTCTAAAAAACCCCTAGAGAACACAGGAGGACTATATCTCATCAATAAGGAAACCCCTGGGTGACGATTTGTCTCCTCATTACTTTTATCCAACACACTAAGCCAATATATATTTTGCTACAATAGAAAACTGAAATGCAAACCACGTTACTGGTCCCCGAGGGAATTTACTTCTTACTACCCTCTAAGGAAAGTAGACACACAGGGGAAAAATAATCCCACAAATTTTACATAGCTTTGCTTTTACTTTTTTATTCATTCCCTCACTGCTCTGCCAAATATCTAAGAACAGAACTGAAATCCAATCCCAGGAGTTTCAATTCTCTTTAAGATTTCAAAGTTCAGATGTCTGTGGATTTTTCTGGACATGGATTTCCTTAATCCCCTGCCGTGAGCATCAGCATCTAAAAGGAGTCAGCTGTGCTTCCAAGAGCGGAGGCCCAGACTTCAGCAAGACGCACATCTGGGTAAAGGCTGAGTGAAATATGACTTCGAAGAGGTCAGCCCAACCTCGCACACACACGACTAATGCCCATATTAGTTCCCAGGAAAGCAGGAGTATAAACACATTTATACTCCTAGTGTTGAGGAACACCCTCTGTCCGACATATCTTAGCTTTAAAAGGGGAATGGGGAGAGAAGGTGAGAACAACTTTGACCAGATATATAGCCCTTCTCTGTTACCTAGAAGAAAAAACTGTGAAGAATGAGCTTCCACACTCTGCACATCAGACAGAAGAGGGGCTTTTTGCTTTTAAAAAGACATTCACAGTGGGACTCATCTAATGCTATGAACTCCTTAGAAAGAGGTCATTTAAGTTGTATATAAGCATTTACCCTGCGTTGAGCTATTTATCATGCAAGTTAAAGTCCGTGAGTTATTTATCTTTTGAAATGTGTCAAAACATACTTTTACCACAAATCAATGCTACTCACTCCCAGGGCCCTTGACTTCCTATCCAGTGGTCTGGAGCGTGAGCGTGAGCGTGTGTGTGTGTGTGTGTGTGTGTGTGTGTGTGTGTTAAGATATCTGAAAATTTTTTTGTATACTTTTCAACCTGTATTGGCGAATAGATGGCAGAAAGGGGGGAAGGAGTGGAGGATCAACATAACTGTTCCCCAGTTCCTGGAGGAGACTCTGGCACATTTTTCTTGGATTAATCTATAGGGCAAAGCTCTGCCTCGTATTGATCTGCAATGCTTGTTATGCTGCCCTAATGCAACATTTTCACTTTGGGAAAATGCTAAATGAGATTACGGTCTAACATTAGAAAGCCATAAAACACAAGCCATGGCACCTTCCATTCAGGAAAAGGATTTCAAAGACATTTCCAATACGCATTATGGTAAACTTCCATACAGTCTTTGTGTCAGCAATTGATTTTTATTGACGGCTTTCATTCCTGCTGATGGAAAAAGCCTCTATGAGGCAAAAATAACAAAAGGCAGACTTTCAAGATACCTAAGAAGATAAATTAAATCTTTGCTGCAAGAGACATTTAAACAAATTAATTACTTTGCATGGAAATAAGATTTAGAAAGAAACAGTGAAGGACAAATGTTAAGAGAAAGATAAAATATAAATTTGAGAATTCAGAATAATAATAAAGAAGTGAGGGACAGAGTAGCTATCCCAAGACACATTTAGCAAAAATAAAAAATTGGTGAAATATAATCAACATTTTAAAATATATATTCATCAAAAACAATGAAGAAAAATATCCACCTTTGAGACAGCATGGAGAAACCTGGAAAGTATTATGCTAAGCGCAATAAGCCAGCCAGAGAAAGACAAGCATCGCATGATCTCACTCGTATGTGGAATCTAATGCACAAAATAAACTGATGAACAAAACAGATCCAGAGACATAGAAGCATGGAATGGAACAAAATGACAGATCTCAGAGGAAGGGGAAGAGATTAACCACAGAACTTATATGTATATATGCATAACCCATTGACACACACAATAGTGTGGTGAAGGCCTTGGGGGAGGGGGGAGGGGAAGCAGAGAGGGGTCAATGGCAGAAAAAAAGGGGACATCTGTAATACTTTCAACAACAAAGATAAATTAAAACAAACAAACAAACAAAAACATGAAAAAGTCCAGTTTAGTGGTTACTTGAAATTATTGAGACTTTGGATAGATCCTTTCACATGTGATTACAATACTATTTTGTTATAGTATTAATGTAATAAAATAATGCTAATGCTAATATTCACTTAAAAGGCAGCTAAGAAAATATAGCCAAGTATTTTTTTCATGATGCTGACAGGCCCACTGTAGAAACTTTGGAAAAAGAATAAAGATACACATCTAGGCTCTTTCTAATTTTTCAGTGCTTAAATAACATGGCGATAAATTATTACTATTGTTTCTGATGATTTTTGTGCAATAGCTTCCGGTAAGATGAATTAATTGGTCAAAGAGAAATGAAAACACTTGTAAAATGAAGCGGAGAGCAGCAGTGTTCAGAGCCCCCCGCCTTGAGCCCCGACTCTTGTTTTATACTCCAGTACCTGTTTAGAGCTGTTGGTTTCCCGGCTGCCTCTCCTACTTGTATGTCTTTGAAACTTCTTCAATGTGGGTCTGAGCTCTATATTTCCAAGGAAACTACCTACCCATCTTTTTAGTTCGACCAGTATAAATGGCTATAACAAGGTAACTTCAGAGAAAGAAAAAATATGGAAACAGCTCTCCTCATACCATTCCCCACACAGAAGACCAGAGAAGTCCTCTAATTAATGACAGTTAGCAGCCATAATTCCTAAAGCTCTTGGGCACACAAAAGTCATTCATTATAAGTGCATAAAAAAGGATCCTTCCCCTATATTTGGACCAGTAAGTACCCTGAGCTGGGGAAGGGGAGAGAGGGGACAGAGAGAAAGGAAGGGATGGATGGATGGATGGATGGATGGATGGATATGAGAACAGCTGGCACTAAAAGGGTAATTCTGATTTTCAACAGGTTGCGACAGACAATGCATCTTTCATGGGATCTGGTGGTCTCATAAAACGGCATCTACCACAATAAAAGCAGGCACACAACACTGCCATGCTGAGTTAAATCTTGAGCTCTAATGTCTGTGGCACAGTGCAAGACCTCTAATTTTATTCTCTACTAAAGGTTTCATTCAATGTTAAGCCCAGTGGTCAGGATTTCTGCTTTTCTTTTACAATACAAACTAAAGCTACTGAGCACATTTCCAATATTTAAAAATATGTAATAACTTCCTCATTTCTCTTATCATTGCAATAAAGCTATTATAAAATGCATTATAAGGGAAGTATTTCTCAAATGTATTCTATTAACATTTTTTAATTTTAAATTTTACCTTAAATTACAATATTCTAATATTAGTTCTCAGAATAAAATGTAAAGTCTCTAACAATGCAAGATCTGAAAAACGACTTAATTTCAAGCTTCTCTGACATTCTTAACAACTGCTAACCATCTTTATTAATGATGTAGCTATTTGAGCTGTAATCAAATTTCTACAATTACACTTCAGAGGTCAACTATCTCCAAAAGTTTTCTTTGTTTCAATTTGTCTCTATAGACACTTTGCTATAAAATC